AGGAAAAGAGAGCTATGTGAAATGCAACGGAAACGTCACCTCTACTCTTATCATTGTGAGAAAATTCTACCACCAGTCCTTCACCATCTTAAACGAAATAGGGTGAATATATCGAATATTATTTTTAATAGGTATCATTAATTAAATTCCTTTTCAATGAGGAAATGATTTTTTTTAATTTTATCTACCTAGCTATAATTATTAATTAGTTTTTAATAATGAAATACTACGCTTTTTTACTATTTAACTTTTTCATTTTAGAATTTTATTCTGAATTATTCTTTATTTTATTTCATCTTTTATAGATATACTTCTTAAGATATTACCGACTGATTCTAGCAAAGTTTCCTGTCCCCAATTTCCAAAAAAACCTGTTGACTACAACTCAAATTTTCCGAATGATTCCTACTTATCCTACTCTTCTGACCGTTTTTCCAAATTCAGTGCTCCTAGCTCTTCAGAAAATTCAGCAGAATATCTGGATGACAACCCTACTTTATCCCACCCTTCCTCAGCCTCTTCCCCATTCGAACGAGCGTACACAACTACGAATTCACCCTCACACCTGACCACACTCTTACCCCCTTCGTGTAATGCGAGAAATGCTCTTTCTATAGGTAAGCTGCTTAAAATCAAAGAGGAAATTAAAGAAGAAGATGAAGATAAACACTTAAATTTTTCAGCCGAATTAGAAAAAGGTTTAGAATTTGGCCTAGAAGACGATTATGCTTTTACTCTAGAGGACAAGGGAGATAAAGAAGACCAAAATGAAGATAGGGATTTGAAAATTGATGAAAACGAAAACGAATTAGAGACAGAAGATGATACCTGTTCTCTTGAGATTCTAGGCCGTCGAACTACAGATGCATCTTCCGACATATGCGGGCGTAGTTTTAGCTGTCCTCCTCCTCTTACTCGGTGCCGAATTTCATCTCCTTCGCCTAAATCGAGCGAGGCTTTTACTGACATGGCTTCGACCAAAGCACATTTTACGCCCTTAGAAATACTAACAAATGGTGGATTCACATCCATATCCAATAATTATGAAGCAAGCCAAATACTCTCTAATCAAATAAAACAGACAAAGCGAAATCTGACAAGGCAAGAATTAGGAGAGCATGGTGATGTGGGCTCCTCCAGGATTTTTATTGAAGAAGAGACCGCTAGCGAACTTGATTCAGATGATACTGAGACGGATGCAACTGATCAGGTAGAGGAAATCTACATTAATTCTGATGAAGATGAAATAAAGAGTGCAGATGTTTCTCGTTTTAATATCAAAGCTGTGCCCTCAAAGTCTCTTCGAGTTACATCAGAAAAAATTAAATATCCTTTTAAATCTGCTCAGACAAATTTTTCGTTTTTTAGAAATCAAGATGAGGCCTGCCCACCAACTGATGATAATCTTTCAAGACATGAAGTTTCGAAAGAGAAGTATCTCGTAAATGAAAGAATTATCCTTCAAGAGGAGAAGACCAGCCAATCAGTAAAAGAGACTGAGGGAAGCACTCAGCGAACTAGTAGATCAAACCATACATTTTATGCCACAGATTCTTCTGATACTATGAGGTACATTTTAGATAATGGGAGGATTAAGGAAGATGAATCTGTCTCTAAAAATGGAGTACTGAAAACGCTAGATTTTCTTTCATTTTCAACTAACTTGTCTAATCAGCCAACGCTGGAGCCAAATTCTTCTCAAGTCAGTTCTTGTAGTGGAACCCGCGATGCTGAACCCGGACAGAGAAATATAGAAAATCCAGGGCAATCTTCTCAATTAGATGCTATAAATTTAGAACAAATTCTCTTTGGGGCAAATGAGGGTGAAGGCCCTTACAAAGAAGAGGAGCATATAATTAGTAAGCAGCCAGTTAATTCGCCTAAATGTCGACCTTTAAATAGAGCTGGAAAGCCTTCGGAGGCAAATAATCAAACTTCACAATCTGTAGTGCGATCAGCGACCAGGAGACGTCCAATAAGCCACTCAATTGAAGAGGCATCAATGAGTAGGCCTATTACAATTGGTGAGTATATGCTGATGAT